TTTATGCAACAGTAAACCTCCGATCCGCTCAGTTGAATAAACCTCCGCCCAGCCGCTGCCGCCAGATTGACCTCCGCTGTGTATCAGTGATCAAAGGATGCCTTCTCCACCCCTTAACTCAGAATCCAGCCCCGTAGTTTGGCGGGTTTGCACCGAGTTTCCCGATCGGACACCTGTGTTCAATTAGTTCACATCGAGAAGTTGCAGATGCTTAAAGAAACGTCAACCAGAAGCCAATAGACAGACATTGCGGACGTACATCAGGTCAAGCCGTCGTGCACGAGAACAGCAGCTGTCTTTGAGTACACAACCGGTTTATCTGTGCAATGACGGCAGGGCCCAATGTGCGCCTACATCGCCGCAGCCGTCGGATCCTACATTCAAAGGGACGCGTCGAACTGTCCAATCGCGAACGCAGGAAACCGAGGAATATGTGAGGACAGCGCGGATCTGAAACTGAGAACACGAAGACGCGCCACGAGGCACGGGGAATCGGGGGTGCGGGTGAGCGCGTCGAAGAGGGTGTCGGTGAGCAGCACCGTCGCCCGGAGGCAGCGGTGATCGGATATCCGAAGCCGCTCGAGGGCGGGGAGGGCTGCCAGGCATGCGAGGACCTCCAGGTCCGACGTGATGACGGCGTCGCCGATCTCAAGCGAGACGAGATGCGCGGGGAAGGCGGAGCGCGTAAAGAGGCTGAGGAACTCGGCGTGCGGCCACCGCGGGAAGCAGAACGGGGACCCCGCGGATGTGTAGGTCAGGGTGCGAAGACGGGGGAATGTGAGGCTGGCAAAGATGTGTCGAACGCAGGCCTCGTCTATTCGGCCGTCGTCGACTTCCACAGAGAGAGTGTGTATGCTGGAAGTGGTGGGCGGGATGTACTGGCTCGGACTGCTGGTAAAGTTTGCAGCAATGTTGAGGCGACAGTGGCCTTGCAAACGCGAGAGGAGAAATACAATTATGTCGGCGTTCCTTGGGCCTACAACAGGACAGTCGAGGGTGTGCAGTTGGGGGAGTAATGGTTCGATTTTTCTCGACAGCGATGTTCCAGGAATGGACAAACTGCTCAAGTTCGGCAGCTTTCCCTTCGTGCGAGACCAGAGCTGCGAGAACGATTCGGAGGAGAGGTTGTGGATGTCAAGCATTATCCATCGCATTGACTGGGAAGCGATGAGATCTATGGCGGAAGGATGCACAGATCCAGATAATTCGACATGGAGGGGAAATGTCCCCCCGCTGCGTTTCAGTATCCATTCGAGCAAGTGCAACCGCGGCTGGCCGTGCAGTACGATGGTGTTCCACAATAGAGGGGCGCCAAAAACGAGGGTGCGCCACCACGAGCATACATGAGCTGGGGCGAGGAGAGGGGCCTCTGCGAATTTGTTGTTGGCACCGCCTCCCACCCATTCCGGCCAAAACCCGAATATCTTGAGTAGAATTTCGACAGGTAGACGACGAATAGGGGCTTGTAGAGCGCGGCAGTCGCTGCGATAAGCGTTCAAGGCTGTCACTTGACTTTGGAGGTTGCGAATTTGGGCCTGGAGCGCTTCGATTGCGGCACCGTGTCGTGCGAGCTGGTCGGACACGGCAGAAATGGTGGATGGGAGGTTGTCGGGTGGATGAGCGTTTGAGCGAAGCAGGTCACGAACGTGCGCCGCTGCAGCTGGGTCCGAGGGGACGGGCGAGTGCGAAAAGGGCATGCTAAAATTGCCGATAAAAAGGGCTACCAGGGCTGAGTGATAAGCTAAGTATGTCAGTGTTTAACCGCGTGAAAAGATAATGCGATTGAAGTCATCCATTGGATTACCTGAATGTAGGTATGGGAAGAGCGACTCAGCTATTGGATCTACCGCTCCGGCGGCTTCGGGAGCTGGGAAGAAATGGGGTTGCGACGGGGATACGCACCACTAAGTAGTCGCCTTTAAAAGGAGTGACAGTCATGTATCGGACCCGATGACTGTCGATCGTGTTTCAGTCCTCTTTCCATTCAGGAACAGGGGCCCGGGTTAACTTGCAGCTGAGAAAAAGAGCATTTCATCCTTCGGGCGGCTTGTGGTCGGGTAGGAAGATCATAGAAGGATGTCGTTTGCGAGGTACAGCTTGCGAAGCTAAGGTAGCCGAGTGTCATTAGTGACAGTAAAACTTGCGGATGGTCAACGCGTAGACAAGTTGGGGGCAGAGTCGAAACACAGAGAGCAGCTCGGTGGTGCGTGAGTTGGTTCCCCAAAAGGGCCAGAGATAATGCGGGCTAGCAAACATGCGATCGTGAGTCCCAAAGACATGCATATGGATAGTGGAGGTACGCTTGACCTCGCCTCGAGGGTCGGAGTCGACAGAGGTTCGTCAAAAAAAAAAAAGAAGGGGGTTGATACTAATTGGGTATATCCATAAACTTTCCACCCGCATATACGCTGTGTACGTCAATGAACCCGATAATGACAGGCGGGATAACGAGAAATACGAGGGAGAGGAGAGGTCCGTTGGGCACTGTGCACATACCTAATCATCCAGAAAGGTCGGTAATTCAAGCCTTTAGATCTGCGAGCTCTTTTGTGCCATTAGATACAAGTTGACGCGCTTCTGCTAGCTCAGATTCGAGCGGGGGGACATGGGACATCCGGTTGCCGCGAATACGATGGGGGGGGGGGGGGGGGGGGGGGGGGGGGGGGGGATTGATTATACTCGCGCGGTCCAAATGCCTGAACAACGAGTTTACCAGTTGCGATGGAGTGGGTGCAAAAGCGAGGTGGCACTGCCACTGATGTGGAAAGATGTTCCCACGCTGTTTCAACCATGATTTTTTGAACAATTGGCAGTTGTACAAAGACCATCCAGGAAAGCCGCAAATTTATAGATGAACAGCACCTCACTATTCTGATTTTAATTGCCAACACGCCTGAACCTCTCATTCGTGATGTGCTCAACGAGCCAGTTGTGGAAGGATTCGTGCTTCCAATCAATCTTTTCAATTTACATAAACTGGAAACAGACTCAGAATCATGTGGTTAAGCAAGATCGGTTCATAAGAGAGGAAAGCATGCGTGGGGTACGCTACCGGTTTTCCCCCATGAAGTTGATATTAGTGAAATTTACGGGACCGAGAACGTTCGACTCCCCGACGATGCATGAAGTTACTTTGCCCACTGTTTTTGCGGGCCGATTGGCCATCCTAGACAGCTCGATTAGTTTTTGTTTTACATGTAGAAGAAAATTGAAAGCAAAAAACCTGTCGGTTCGTAAATCGAGGCAGGGATGCACCGCACCACCACGTCCGAGATATCATTCGTGGTGCGTCGCGACATAAATTATCTGACTCGGAGTCGGCCTTGGAGGGCAGTCGAGCTAAGCCTACGTAAGTGCAAAGCTCATGATGCCCTCTAGCAGTGGTTCTCTCCACAAGGCACGCCTTCTCGGCCCTTATTCAAAAATTTATCACTCCAAGTTCACTTGGGTCCTTGAGTTTGCCATTCTTTCAACCGACTACCGAATATCTGGGTCAAATTCCGATGTTCTCTGTATCTCGATTCCCGATTTCGTGCCTGGCCTCAAATGCAGCCCTCGGTATGCATATCGCGTGCCGGAGAGTATGTACATAGAACCTCCGTCAAAGTAACCCGAGGCCCACTCGAAGTGATTTTCGAAATAATTTTTCGTCTCTGTCCGTCTGACTCTTCGTTGTTTCCAGCAATAACCCCAACTCCTGATCAAACTCCGACCAGCAGACGCTCTGAGACAATGCGACTGCCAATGATTCTCCCTGCCGAATCTAATTTGTTGGCATACACGATCCCTCAGCAAATCTCCACCCTCGTCATGATGTACAACCCCAATCGATATCGTCATGATTTCACTCGCTGCTTCCTGCTGAAGGCAACTCGGACTCAGTCTGGGCTACTCGCCCTCACCCGGCATGCGCCGGTTCAAGATATTTCCTCCCTTCCTTTACTTACAACAATCTGCATTGCGAATCACCTGTAAGTGTCTTTTTCTGTTTCGCTCCTGTGCTTCAACTGGAAACCAATTCTAATATCTATGGTTTAGTAGAGTTGGCCCAGAAGAGGAAAAGCATCGGTGGGGTATGTTGCCCACGGTCTCCCCATGGAGAAGTCCAAAGGAGATTTGTCAGACCGACGACGGGGTTCGACTCCCTGACGATGCATGCCGTGGGTATAAGGAGCTTTTTTGCTGCCCGGCTGCAGGGCATGGCTAAATATGTGGCATCTTCGAGCCAACTTACAGAAAAGAATACAGAGTTCGTTGCCTGGAATTGCGAAACGATTTGCCATGCTGCAGCTCCGGCGCCCGCGGTCCTCTCCTAGCTGCGAGAACAATACAATTTGTGAGACGGAGGACGGGGTTCGACTCCCTGACGATGCGTAGTCGGGAATGAGCATCTTTTTAACATCGCAGTTTTCGAAGAAAAAGTAGGCTATTCGAGGCAGAACGTAAAATCAGAAAGCTTCCGCGTAGGAAAGAGCCCAGTGTCTGTGCACAGCGGTACAAGCCCCAGGGATGATTACTATGATTGAGATTGTGGGGTTTGTGGAGCTTAGACCCATAGCAGGAACACATCGGTGGGGTATGGTGCCCGCGGTCTTCTCCGTGAACTTGACGGGTAGCGAAATTTGCGGGACCGAGGACGGGGTTCGATTCCCTGCCGATGCATGTTGCGTAGCTCTCCGAGTTTTTGCCGCCCGGCTTCAGGCCATGTCTCGATGGGCATTGGGTGAGCTTTTCGATTCAACTTACAATGAGGATGGAGGGGTGAATTGACCTACAACTGCCAAACATTTGACTCCCTATAGAACCTCGATTAGTTTTTCTTTTCGATTAGTTTTTCTTTAAATGTAAGCAGAAAGAAAAGTTGAAACCAAAAGGCGACCGACATCCAACGTATCGAGACAGCAAAGAAATGTACATCACAGGTGACCTTCATATACGTCGGTACAAATGAGGCTGGAGCGACGCCTGTCAAAAGAAGACGTTCCAAGGATAGACCCCATCTCGGACGCTGGGAGTCGAACCCAGAGCACCTGCTTGCAATTTCGGAATGTCTGGCAAATTGGGGCAGGGGTGCGCCGCGCACCACGTCCGAGTTATTTTGTATGGTGCGGAGTGGATTTCGAGGTACCGTCTAGTGTCGCTTGACTCTTGAGCTACCGTCTATCACCGTTTTATGCCGTCTCAAAACCACAGATGTGGCCTACTTATTCCAGCTGGTTCAACGGAGACAGAAATTCATTGCTAGTACAACTGGAAACGTTTCAACTTGAATCGCCAGCCTCCCGGCGTGGTCTCGGCGTTCCTATGTAAATCCAGTCCAGTCACGGTGTGCGTGGATTAATCATGAGTGAGGAGCAAAGCAAATTAAGACGGCAAAGGCATACTCCGGCTCCTCGACGAAAATAAGAGGGAAGACCTCAGCGGTTCCCAGAAATACACAAGAGGTTGGCCTCAGCGACGCTAAAAATGACAGGACACGGTTATCTCGGACGCTGCGAGTCAAACCCAGATGACCTGCTTGCAAGAATATCATAACTTGGCAAATTTGGGCAGGGTGCGCCGCGCACCACGTCCGACTTATTTTGTATGGTGCGGAGTAGAGTTTGAGATACCGATTTGGAGGTGAGGTCTCGTGAGTTCGCGTGAGCTTCGACGGTGGAGGGGAGCAAGTACTTATGGAGGAAAGAAAACATCTGGAGATCCACTAACTAGATGCATGTTCAATGAGTATGTACATTCCGTGTTTCCTTGTGTTACATTAGTGTGAGTGGTGCTGGTATCCGTGTTCTTACAATCAATCAATACAATACAATACATTCTCTTCTGCCCCTCCATCCCATCCCATCCCTTTCAACACCTGTTCCAACGCAAGACTCATATCCCGCTCAGCTGCACGATCTTCTTCCCGTAGTACCCGCCCGCTGCGAGGGAGGAGGCGGCGAGCAGCGCGGGGATGGTGCGGGGGACGGGCGCGCGGATGGAACCAGGGGCGAGGGTGCGCGTGCAGAGGAGGCGGGGGGTCGTCGAGGAAGAGGAAGAAATACAACGCATCAACGGCTCTCTCGAGGCCGTGACGGTGGTCCTCGCCGCGGCGGATGCGGTCGCCGGCCCAGAGGCAGAGGGCGCCGACGCTGCGAACGTAATCATCTCGTCAGAATGTTCATTCTGCCACAGAGAAGTATGTGCGGGGAGGGGCAGGGAGCGGAGGGCATGACGGGGTACGGGGAAAGACCGAATGACGTAGAGAAAGTAGAGAAAGGAACACGCACCCGACACCAGCCACGAGCGAGGGGACGCTGCGCGTCCGGGCAAAGCCGGCGATACAGAAGCCGCCCTTTACGAAGGCGGGGTAGGCGGACTGCAGCGTAGTAGTTCCGGGAAGAGGAGCGGTGGGCCAGTGGATGAACGAAGAGTGTCTCATTCGTCGTTGAGGATTTCGGGACGAGAAGTGAAGAGGGGAGCGAAAGGGAATCGGTGAGCATTGATCCAATGAAGGTACTTAGGTAAGAGGGAGGGACGGGCGCACCATGGTGTTGTTAGTAGTTAGTAGTAGGAGCTCGTTAGGACTCGGTGCTCGTCAAGCGCTAGCCTCTTCAACTGGTACTTCAGGTTGTGCTCCGTGGATGCGCTGGATGTGGATGTGGGGTCGACAATTGCAACGCAATACGACAACTCGGCGTCGGTATGTACGATGAGTTCCGTCCCTCGTCGAGGGAAATGTGCTTGCGGAGAGCGAGAGAGTGAGTGAGTGAGGAGGGAGGAGAAGAGAAAGCTGGGGTCGTGCGAATCGTGATCGACGTCGGAGGTAGTGATGTTCTGGCTTGGCTTGGCTTCTGAGCCCCGGCTTTGGCTTGGCTTCACAGGGCTTTGGCTCAACGATCCTGAAGCCAAAGCCAAAGCCGCCAACCAGGGCTTGCCGGGGCTTGGCTTTGGCCCAAGCCGCGGCTTTATGCATTTTTTTTTGTTTCAATTGTTTGCGGCCCACAAGAGTCATTGCCGTTTATTTAACTGTAAGCCACGGTAGTTTTGGTCATCAGGAACACAGCAGATCCTTTGTTGAACCCACAGAAAATATTACCAGCTGTCTGCGGCGCTGTTATGCCGATGCGGAGGATCCCGGGTTGTGATGGAGTTGCCATATTGGGTACAAGATGTTGAAAAACAAATTTCAGGCCATAGTATAATGTTCTTCGGTGAAAATACATGTAGATGTATTCCCTAGATGGTGAAACTAACTGCCTTGATCCTCATAAATTATTAGGATTCGTAGGATGCAAAGCCAGGGCTTCAAGCCCCGGCTCTTGGCTTCCCAAGTTCCAAGCCAAAGCCAAAGCCCTTCCAAAGCCGCCGATTTGGCTTGGCTTGGCTTCAAAAGCCCGGGGCTTAGCTTCACGGCTTTTTGGCTTGAAGCCAAGCCAAGCACATCACTAGTCGGAGGCCGGAGTACTCGTGGGAACCTTCGAGTCGGCCTTCGGACCTGGTCCGGGTGGGCGATGGTTCGATTCTCAACTTGAACCAACCGAAAAAAATGCAGTTGAACATGAGGCGGTGTGAGTTGGAATTGCTATGCGGCATTCTCTGACATCACTCTTCTTCTTCCTCCACTGATTCCTCCCACTCGTCTCGACACACTCCAGACTCCGAAAATGTGCTCCACAGAATCTGCACCAAAATGAAGACCACATTGATCGTCGAATGCTAGCTGTAGTAGGGCGCCCGCGGTCTTCCCATACAATGGGAATGTTAGTAAAATTTCCGGGCTGAGGAAGGAGTCAGTTCGACTCCCTGATGAATCTTGGGGTGGAGCATCCACTGATCGAGAAGTGTGCTACGAGATTCCTCCAAATGCAGGGCTTCTTCATTTTTCGACACGACTACATATACTTTAAATCATTGGTTTATGGAGCGTGGACCGATAGCAGGAGTGCATCGGTGGGGTACGGAGCCCGCGGTCTTCTCCGTGAACTTGACGGGTTGCGAAATTTGCGGGACCGAGGACGGGGTTCGATTCCCTGCCGATGCATGTTGCGTAGCTCTCCGGGTTTTTGCCACCCGGCTTCAGGCCATGACTCAGTGTGTGGACTTTTCGATTCAACTTACAGTGAGTGATGCTGGGATGGATTCACCTACAATTGCGAAACAAATCCCGATTGGCCATCCTACTGTACTATACAGACAGCTCAATCAGTTTTTTGTTTACATGTAAACAGACATAATCGAATCCAAAAGCCAACCAACATCCGACATTTCAGCGAGCAACAGAAATGTACATATATCAAGCTAAAATGCTGCTAAATAGGCCGGGAACTGTCAGTGGACCTGGATATACATTTTTTTAGTAGATGCACCGGAGGCGGAGCGACATCGGTAAAAAAGCTCTGGAAATATACCAATCTCGCACCCTGGGAATCGAACTATCAACCTGCTTGCCAACCGGGATTTTGTTGCGAATTGGGGGCAGGGGTGGACCACGTACCACGTCCGAGTTATCTTCTATGCTGCGAAGTGGCATTTGAGGTATTGTCTACACCGTTTCAAGTTTGCTGCTTGTTTTGAAGGCCATTTTAAAAACCACAGATGTGGCTTCGAGTGGGTTCAACGGAGACAGCGGGTGTGTTTTTATCGAAACCGAGTTTGTCTACATCGAGTGTAGGTGAATCTATCCACAACCGCGAACCATTCGACTGATGGACGCTGTAAAAGGAAAGCTTCGAAACGAATCAGCTCGGACGCTGGGAATCGAACCCACACTTATCACCTGCTTGCCATGGGGAATTACACCAAGTTTCCCTAATTTGGGCAGGAGTGCGCCGCGCACGACGTCCGAGTTGCTATATTTTCTATGCCGCTGAGTGGAGTTCGAGGTAGCGTCTGGCTGATTGTTTAGGGCGCGTGTTCAAAGCTACACGGAGTTGGTTCAAAGGAAACAGTTCACATCGAGTCACGGTGTAGGTGAATTTATCTACACTGCAACTGTGAACCACTTGGCTGAACGATGCTGGTAAAAAAGGACACTCCACAATGAGAAAGTTCGGACGCCGGGAATCGAACCCAAAGCACCTGCTTGCAATCCCGGAAGGTTTGGAAAATTGGGGCAGGGGTGCGCCGCGCACGACGTCCGAGTTGTTTTGTACGATGCGGAGTAGAGCTCAGTGAGGTAATGATTTGGAGGTGAAGTGCAAATTAAATTTGAGACTGACTCGCTCGTGAGTTCGGCTTAGTCACTCATAAAAGGACGTTAAAGTTGATACCTTCGCCTGAACTTAAAATGGGGGCTCAAGCTTGAAGGATGGATACCCATGTACTATTTGCGACCGGGAAACCGGCCATTTTAGCATTTATCCCTACCTCTCCAGCGCTACATCAGCTCTATGCAAACCAAAGTGTACTGAAACGAAGGTCGCAATCCCACGAACAGTTCAATATATTTCTCCCGAATTTAGATGCAGCGTGGATGAATCAAGAAATTTATTTCGGTCGACACCCCCAACATGGACAAATAGTAGGAAACCGGCCACCCGGCCAAACGAGTGTCAACGGCGCAAACTCAGGGTCGTGTCATTCAAGAATGATACATAGGAGTTATAGGTACTCTCCGCTATGCTTGGTCTGTACTTGCAACGGATGGAAGTGGTTTTGTTTCACGAGCGAAACCATTGCCGTAACGTGCGGGAGTGGAGATTTCCGCTACACTGGCCGTTCGTCAGGACCATCGGCAGCGGCAGCCCCAAACAGGTCCTACATAGTTTTATATTGAGTATGCCAACATACTATACCACTCATCTGCCTGCTGACATAGCACTAGCTGCCCAGAAAAATCCAAATATCTCAGACACCAAATTTGGGTACATCGGGGTAAAGGGCCACGATGAGAAGTGACGTGAGAGTGAAGGGAATGCCGACACGCACCAGGATGGAGTGTTCCCACTTCATATCGCTCTCAACAAACTCCAGACCCACGACATGGATCGGCAGCCTGCTAGGCACATCCCCTTGAGAAGCTTGGGCTGTGAGAGGAGCGGGGCAAGATACAAGGGAGAATGAATCAACTATTACCTTTTAGGGAGGCACCTTGAATATTGCAATTGTGTC